ATCTATCTAATATAGGTCTTACATAAGATAGAACAAAGATTAGAGGAAATATAAATTAAACTGACGGAAAAAGATATTCTGTCCACCCTCACTTATAATAGAAATAGAATATCTAATAAGCAAGTTTCATTAATCTACATTTTCTATTTTTCCCTTGGTTATATTATTCAAGTTTTTGGTTCTATTATATTACACTATACCTACCATGATAATATTCTTTCTGAGGATAAACCTATCCCCTTTATCAAAAATCAAGGATTATATCACCCCATTTCCATTTTTGTATAATCTCATTATACTATCAGTTTTATATTTATACCAGATATAGAAACAAATATCTATTATAAAAAAGCTTACAAAGTTATCTTTACCTTATACTCCTCTTTCTGATAATTCCAAGTCCCTAACCTGGCTACAAAACTTTCAAATAACCAAGCTCTTAATCTTCAGGTACAAACATAAAACAAAATGGTTATATATACTTTATAAAACTATTACACTTATTTCTATCTAATAATCACTATCACACATAAATTTATAATCAAATCGAAGGACAATCATATAGTACCCTGGAACCTCTCTACTTGAATAATAAATACAATATTTATAATCTTATTCAGTAAGTAGTTTCTATTATATTAAACCCCTCTATGATTCGAATAGTTAGAATCAAATACAACTCTCTTGTTATGTTATCTAAGGAAAGATTCTTCGATTTCTATTCCAAGTTTTGTGATCTTGTTGTTCAAACAGAGATTCTTAATGATAAGTATTTCTGTAATAATCTATTCGATAAGGCAGTATACCACTTGATAAGTATTTCTAATCACAAGTTTGCACATTCTATTACAATTAATAATATACTGAAGTTCTAGGCAACCTCGATATCACTTATCAACAATTTGCTGTAATCTATACTTTCTGTTCTCATTATTCTCTTCAGGGTATTTACTTTATTTAATCACTTTTCATTTCTAGTGCTGCAATACCTCGTAACAGTACCCCTGGAGTATACAATAGATCTGTAACATCCTCTAACATACCTTACCGCTTGCCCTCTACTGTACCTGTCCTTACTCCATAACACTTTTCAAGTGGACCCTCTTCTACTCCTTTTTTTAGCTTCAGATAAGCTACTTTTCAATATATACCTTATATTTCTGTTATCATCAATGAAATTAATAACGAGATAAATTCCGAATTAGATATTGAAAAGTTCGATAACAATTATGGTTATCAAGAAATTGACCAAATTGGTTAAGAAATTAACCAAATTAACCAAATCGATCAAATTAATCAGATCAAAGATTTTCTATTTTATTCAAAAAAGGATATTCTATAAATACTGTCTCTCTTATGGGGCAAATACAGGATATATCATATCTTGACTTATATATCCTTATGGATAACTACTATTTCTCTTTTCCAATCACTCTGGTAAGGGATAGTATTATACTCAAAACACAAGATCTAATAGATTCCGGAGCTAACAATTATACTTTAATTGATCAGAACCTGATAAAGTATCTTGACTACTATACAAAATCAGTTATATAAAAACTACCAACTCCCATATCTATTAAAGGGTATAATAGTATTATCAATTTACACATTTCTTATATTACTTATTTTATTTTAATAATTGATAAATGTATTCAATGTAATACTCTTTTCCTAATGCTCCCTTTGGGATATTATTCTATCATTCTAAACCGCCAATAGCTAGATATTCATGATATTGGCTTAGATTATTGTTGCCGACAATTTCAGTAACATATAGACTATTCTTTTACAGCATCTTATACCAAATATTTCTATATCGATCCTTAGATTATATATCTTTGCAATATTATTAACAAAAAACATCAGCAAGATATTATTCAATAAAATATAGCAATCGATAATGAAAACATTTTCAAAACCTTTCTTTTGAGAAAGTCTCTTGTTATTGCCCCAATCAATCAAATCGTTTTTAGCCCTGGTGCTACCACGCTAGCCGACACCTTATTGGCCAGTACATAAATCAAGAAAATCAAAATCACCTTTTCAATCTCGATCTCCAACCTCTTTTGTGCAAAAATACTTTTAAATAGAAGAATCTTTGATAAATCCCTAGGCTTTGATTTTACCCAAATATCAAAAAACCTCAGAAAACCCTACTCAAGTCCTCCGATACCTATAATTCGAAGAAAACATTCGATTTCGCCAAATTCACGATTCTTATCTATAATGAAATCATTAGATATTTACGAAATCTCAGCTCATACCTTTGAAATTGTTTATATTAGGTCTCCAAAGAATGAACTGTTTATTTGTACTTTTTAGAAAATAAATTCATTACTTAATCAAAGATTCTTGAAGCAAAACAGAGAAGATAAGATATCCATTATTGAAAAGGTTTTAGTAAGAATTAACCAGAATCTTAACGAATCTGTTCTAAAGTTACTGGTTACATTTATTCCAGAAAAATCTTTTGTTTCTAATAAATATA